CTCTCACTAGAGGATGAGCTTTTGTTACCTCGTGCCATAAGGCACACACGAGAAGAGCTTGATGATGAGTGCTTATGACCTCGCTTTTGTGATGGTTTTCTTCTTCACTTGAAGAATCATCCCATGACCTTATTGTTGTGAGGGCTTTGTTTTTTGCACGCCTTCTTCTTTGTCTTGGGTGTGGGCTTGTTTGGACAAACTTCCACAAATGCCCCATCTCGCCGATCCGTAGCATCCTCTCTTTCTTTGCTCATTTCTTTGATTGGTGAAAATGAGATCTTGAATTTGGATGGGCACACCCTTGACATTGAGCCTTTGGATCATCTTCTCCACCTTGTTGATTAATTTGATTGATTCTTCATCAAGGTCGGAGGTGGAGGAGGAAGATTGATCATCATCACTTGATTCTTGTTCATCATCATCATCATCCTCATCTTCTTCTTCTTCACTTGAGGAGCTTGAGCTTGAGCTTGACTCAACTTTCTTGCCCTTCATCTTTTTCTTTTTGCTACAAGCGAGAGCTTTGCCTTTGCTTGATGAAGATGCTTCTCCTTGACCCATCTTACGTGACATTTCAAATGCCACTAGCTTGCCAATGACAATGCCCGGGGTCATGGTGCTCAAGTTCTCCATGTTGTGAAGGATGGTGATGATGCTTGCATATTTCTTTTGTGGTAGAACGGAGATGATCTTCCTCACGATGTCCGCATCATCTAGCTTTAATAATCCTATTGAATGGAGCTCATTGATAATTAGATTCAATCGAGAATACATATCACGAACAAGCTCATCATCATTCATAGCAAAGGAATCATAATTTTGCTTAGCTAGACAATGTTTTTGCTCACGGACATTACTTGTACCGTCATGGAGCTCTTGAAGTTTTAACCAAATTTCATGTGCCGTATTTAAGGTGAACACTTGGTTAAACACATCCATGCTAAATGATTCAAACAAGCAATTCTTAGCTCTAGCATTAAAATGCATTTCTTTTCATCACTCTTTGTGGGTTTTTCGATTCTTGATGGATTTCATCCCGTCACGAGTGACTCTCCATACACCCAAATCAACCGCCTCAAGGTGGCAAGCCATTCTAGCTTTATAGTATGGGAAGTTAGAGCCATCAAATTGTGGAGGCCTAGCGGTATCCATCCCAACCACTCTACAAGCGTCGGCTCAACGGCGCCCAAAGGTCCAAATATGAGCCAACCGCTCGATACCAATTGAAGGACACGTGGGACGCCTAAGAGGGGGGGTGAATTAGGCAACTTAAAAACTAACTCTAAACTATGGCCTCTTTTTTTACTTCTAGCAAAACCTATGCAAAAGATAATCTATCTAGATGTGCAACTACGGTTTTGCTAGTGTAAGTTATATCTCTACCGCAAATGATAATAATATGATCAATGTAAATGCGGAAGCTTAAAGAGCAAGGTAGAGATATGCAAACTCCGTCGACGACTCGGTATTTTTTTACCGAGGTATCGAGTAGCCCGCAAGCTTCCCCTAGTCCTCGTTGGAGCCCCTCGCAGAATCCCTCGAAGGGCCAAGCTCCCGGTCGGGTAACTCCGTGGATAGCCTCGGGCCTTCCCCACGCCGCAAGTGGGTCTCCGATGTGCCTTCCGCAAGCCTCTCCCGGATGCTCCCATGCGCCTTCACTATCAAGCTTTCGCCAAAACGCCATGGGCCTTGTTCCCTCCGGAGACACGGTGGCGGCCACACCACAAACGCGCGTTGGTGTGATCTCGCAAGACTTCAAGCCCTCCGATGTACAACACTTGTGCTCACAAGCACGGGTGGCAAGAGGTATGCAAACCTCACTTAAACACTAGGCAAACACCTAGAGCAAGCGATAAGCGATGGTCTAATCAACCTAAGCACTTCGCAGCACACTTATGCTAATCACCTAATAAAACACTAAGCACTATGCATGTGGAGATCACTCAAATGGTGTATCAACACTCTTGATATGTTTCTCACCCACACTTCTCAAATGGCGGTTGGGGTTGTATTTATAAGCCCCATCGAAAAGTAGCCGCTGAGTCGAACTCCGCAATTCGCCATCGCATCGACCGGACGCTGAATCGTCTCTGACCGGGACGCGTCCGTCCCGTCTCCGAACCGCTAGCGAACTGCGAACACCGATCGGACGCCGCCGCGTCCGGTCGCCGCTCACCGACGTCGTCTCGGTCGCCGCCACGGACGTCGCGATTCGGCGCTGCTTGGAACCTCTCGAACCTTTCAGATCGGGACGGACGTTCGTTCCTCGTCTGGTCCGGTTGGTTCTCATCAGAAGTTGCGTCCCGTCGCTTTGTCTATCCAGCGTCGGTCAAGGCTTCCAGTCGTCGTCCAGCGTCTCCGGTCGCCTCTATGAAGCCTCGCTTTCTTTGCGATCTTTGCGCACGGCTTGGTTCCTATCTTCATGCTTGGACTTTGCTTGACATCTTGGGTCTTTTCTTGTGCTTCTAAGGTCTTGCTTGAGGTGTTGATCATCGGATCATCACGTCGCCTTCGTCCAAGTCACGTCTTGCACCCTATTGGACTACAAAACAAACACTTGCAAATTCATTAGTCCAATTTGGTTGTGTTGGTCATCAAACACCAAAATCCAAAGTAAATGGGTCAAGGATCCATTTTCCTTACACCATGGAAGATGAAATGAAATCTATGAATGCCAATAAAGTTTGGGATTTAGAAATAATTCCTAAAGGAGTCAAAACAGTAGGCTGTAAATATGTCTACAAAACAAAACTTGACTCTCAAGGGAATATAGAGAGATATAAAGCGTAACTTGTGGTAAAAGGCTTTACGCAAAGAGAAGGGATTTATTACAATGAGACTTTTTCTCCAGTCTCATGTAAGGATTCCTTCATAATCATAATGGCATTAGTGGCACATTACGATTTAGAATTACATCAGATGGATGTAAAGATGGCATTTCTCAATGGAAACTTGGAGGAAAATGTTTACATGGCACAACCGAAAGGTTTTGTCATGGAAGGAAAAGAACGAATGGGATGCCGCCTAAAGAAATCCATTTATGGATTAAAACAAGCTTCAAGACAGTGATACTTGAAGTTTGATAAGACAATAAGAAATTTTGGGTTTAAAGAGAATGTAGAGGACAATTGTGTCTATACAAAGTTCAAGAATGGGAAGTTCATCTTTCTTGTCCTGTATGTGGATGATATCTTACTTGCTAGTAGTGATGTCAGTCTACTATTGGAGACAAAGAAGTTTTTGTCCTCAAAATTTGATATGAAAGATCTTGGTGAAGCTTCGTTCATTCTAGGGATTGAGATTCATCGAGATAGAAGTAAATGGGTATTAGGACTGTCACAAAAGGCATACATAGAGAAAATATTAAAGAAATTTAGTATGCATAAATGTAGTCCCTCACCTGCTCCTATAGTCAAGGGCAACAGATATGGGGATTTTCAATGCCCCAGGAACCAATATGAGATCGATCAAATAAAAGCGATTCCATATGCTTCAGCTGTCGAAAGCTTGCAATATGCTCAAGTATGTATGCGCCCTGACTTAGCATTTGTTACCGGGTTACTTGGCAGATTCCGGAGCAATCCTGAAATATAACACTGGAAATTGGTAAAGAAAGTCTTGCGTTATTTGCAAGGAACGAAAGGCCTCATGATGACGTATAGAAGATCTGATTCACTCCATACAGTGGGATATTCAGATTCTGATTATGCGGGAGATGATAGAAAATCCACGTCTGAATATGTATTCACTCTCGCAGGGGGAGCTATTTCATGGAAAAGCTCAAAGCAAACCGTCACTACATCGTCCACAATGTATGTCGAATTTGTAGCGTGTTATGAGGCAACGGGGCAGGTGAACTGGCTAAAGAAGTTCATACTCGGTTTGAAGGTGGTTGACGACATCTACAGACCACTTAAGTTATACTGCGATAATAATCCAGCAGTACAGTATGCTCACAATAATAAGTCAAGTGGTGCTGCCAAACACATTGACATAAAGTATTATGTTGTGAAAGATAAAGTCCAGGATCAAGTCATAAGTCTTGAGCATATAAGTACAGTAAAGATGCTCGCGGATCCGCTTACAAAAGGCTTACCACCCAACGTGTTCAGAGAACATGTAGCCGGCATGGGTTTAAGGGAAAGCCTATAATTCCTGGACAAAAGAAAGCCCAAAGATAAGTATCTATTTCAGAACATGGTAGTGTGTTGTAGCTGTTAAATCTATCGGCCATGGACCATGACGATGAGACATGCACTATGCGCTAATCTGTAATGAAATGAACAAAAGTAAATGATATGAAAGGAAAAGATGGAAAGAGATCAAGGGGGAGATTGTTAGATTGATCTCTAACCTAACTGACCAAACGACCCAGTTAGGCCTTTGATTCGCGCCCTGATCGGGGGCACCCAGTCCACCATGGCTGGAGGGCCCCTGTCACCCTGCGCTATAAAAAGATGTGGGGGCCGGCGGCTCTTATCATGAGGTTGACCTGAGCCGACCTCCCCACCGACAAACCCTAAACCTGATCTAAGTGAGGGGAGCAGCCAGTGACGGGAAGTACCTCCACCGCTGCACTACGCCGCCGCCGTCGATCTTCACCGCCGGCACCGCATCTCCGACCCGTCTTCCCCGACCGTCGCTGCCCGTGCGCAGACTACATCAACGAACCTCGATGGCGGCCTCCAAACCCTCCCCCTCCGTGGTGTCAGGTTCGTTAGACATCAACCACCCCCCTCTGTCTCTCTATTGCTGCACTAGAACGTATCCTAGGTCTTTGATTCATCAAGCACCCCGGCTAGATCCACTCCTAGACGATCCGAATAGTCTAACAGATCAAACTACTTGGTACTGTTCCATGGATACACATATATCCAATTCAGCAACTATATATAACGAATTGGAAATTGAAGGAACTACTTGGCCAATTCTAGAGCGAGATCATGCATGGGAATGCCAAAATCTAATTGCCATTTTCAAACATGACATTGATTTTTTTCCTAAGTTCTGGGACAGAAGTGCACATTTCTATTTAGCAAGCATCGATACATGTAAACATAGTTAGGGATCCGATAATACACACCTTCTTCGCAGCATGAGTGCAATACAGTTCTTGAGGAGTTACCTTCCTCAGATGGGCGTCAAACCTCCTTTCAGCATACATAGTCCTCATGTCCTCAAAGTATGACTTCCCGTCAAAGTCACCCTGACGGCAACGCATCCTCTTGAGCTCATCCTCAGTCCAGTCCCCAAGATTGTTAGGGCCATAACAGGTATCGCCTTGGGTATGCGTGTTAACCTTGTCTGCTTCCATTGCATTCACCTTGAACACCTCGGGGCTGTTCGGTAGGACTGAAAAATAAGCCAAAATACTGTTCCGGCTGATTGTTGTGAGGGAAAAATATTGTTCTGTCTGAAAACAGTGTTTTCGTGAGTGCGCTGGCCAGCCTAGCCAAAGCTGGCCAGCCGGCCGAACGCGGCCCTCATACCGTCGAGCCTTCTCCTCCTCGTCCTTGTAGGTCCGGCCATACTCCTTCATCCAGTCCTCAAACCTTTTCTTCATCACTGCCTCATCAACCTTGTACTCCTGCTCCATGACCATCTTCCTGTGGTTCTCGTACGCCTCGTCATGCTCCTTCCTCCATTCCTCAAACCTTTTCTTCATCACTGCCTCATCAGCCTTCATCACGTTGCCCTCCTGCTCCACGGCCACCTTCCCATCAAGATACTGCATGCGAAAAATGAGGTAATCATTGTACTCCATCCGGGCAATGTTGCCATCTTTATCCACGAACATTGCCACGATGGCTGGATCATTTAGAGCCGCCTCCATGTCAGTCACCACCACGTTGCTGGCCCCCTCGTCGGTCACCTCGCCAGCTACAGTTACATATGAACACCGTAGGCGATGGCTCATCATTAGAATACATAGAATAGAGCTTCACGATGACAAACAAGAGCTGATTTCAATTCATACCTTTGTCATCTTTCTTGAGGTACACGATTCCGACCAGTGCAGCCAACCCGGCCACGGCCAAAGCACCACGAGCGCCCACGGCAGCGTCCGGATTGCTCTGTATCGGGATGAGAAACATGAGAATAGATGCTGCGAATGAAGAAATTTTAGATCTGAGATCTAGAGATACCCAAGCTCACCAGAGTGTGGAGAGAGCGTGTTGGCCTCCCCGACGCCGACCCTATGGTCTCCGCCTGCGCCGCCTGCGCGGCGGGGATCCGGTGTGACGAGAACCTTCGGATGAGAAGGGAACTCAGGGCCCGGAGAGACATGATCTCGAAAGCTCCCCTTCCTTTGGAAATCTTCCGGTCCGATCGTTCGGACCGGATTAGCGCGCCGACGATTTTTCCCGCGCGTTGGGCGCGTCGACGATTCCTCCCGCGCGGTGTTGGCGACAAGCGCGGCCCAGCGATGTAGGCAACAGCCCATGAAACGCAGCGACTTCTGATAGCTGGTAGGTACGTTCGCTTCTCTTCTTTTCTTTTCGGTTAATATCAGTTCTGATCGCTGGTAGGTACGTTCGCTTCTGATAGCTGAGCGTAGCGACGGATATTTATTTTTCCTTAATCTCGGTTGGATGTTACGCTAGATGCTCTTTTTTCTTTCTTATATTTCTTTTTATTTTCTTGTTTTTTTATTTTTTCTCTCGTTTATTTTTTCACATGGTAGTTATGTGATGTTTCTATTTATTTATTTACTCTCCTCCATTACGTAGTGTTTCTATTTTATTTTTTCCCTTATCTTTTGTCCATCTTTTTTATTTTGTTTTTAGTTATTTATTTTTTATATTTTCTATATATTTCATAGCATCTACTATTTGTTTTCTTTATTTTCTATTCTTTGCTATTTTACTCTAATTAATTGTTTTCTTCGTTCCTTTTCTTTTTGTGCTCTGTTAATTCTTTCATTTATATTTTACTTTACTCTAATTAATTGTTTTTTAGTTCTTTTTCATTTTCTTTTCTTATTTCATTTTTTTCTTTTTCTTTTTGTTTTCTATGATCTTTAATTCTAATTTTCATTTTTAAGTTTTATATTTTATTTATTTCTTCTTTAATTTACTCAAATTAATTGTTTTTATTTTTTAATTTTATTTCTATTTTTCTATTTTCCTGATTGTTCTATTTCTTTGTTTAGTTTGCTCTATGAACTATTTTTATTTTTATTTTAAGTTTCTTATTTCATATGTTAATGAGATATATGTTATGTTCATATAGTATATATATATATATATATGATTTTTTTTAAATTTTCTTCCTTAAGATATTATTTTATTTTATTTTTCTATATATTTATCATTTGTTATCGATGTTCTTATGTTTATTTTTTCTTACTCTAATTAATTACTTTACTAATTTTACTAATTTATTTTTTATTTCTCTATATTATGTGAGATACATGTGATGTTCACGTAGTATAGATATGATGTTCTATGATGTATTTTGTGATGTTTACGTATTATTCATGTAGTATACTTGTAATGTTTTATGATATATTTTATGATGCACATAGTATACATGTGATGTTCTATGATATATATTATCATGTTCACGTTGTATAAATGTGATGTTCCATGACGTATTATGTGATGTTCATGTAGTATACACATGATGTTCTATGATGTGTTTTGTGATGTTCATATAACTAGAAGATATTAACTATTATAAACTAATGTTTGTGGATTGCGTGGCACGCTGATGTGGATACATGGATGTTCTGTGATGTATTTCGTGATGTACACGTGATATCCATGTGATGTTTTATGATGTATACATGTGATATTCACGTGGTATACATGTGATGTTTTATGATGTATTTTTTTATGTTCACTTAGTATCTATATGATGTTCTATAATGTATTTTAGAATGTTCGCGTTACATAGTACGTGTGTGATATTCTATAGTCTATTTTAGGTTGTTCAAATAGTATTCATGTGATGGTCTTTTATGATTTTCTCAATTACTTTTGATTACAATCTTTTTTATTTATTTTGTTTTATCTCTTATGTAGTTTTTTTTGTATTCCATGATGTCACATGGTGTATTTCATATTATATTTTTCCTCCTACGTGTTTATTTTTATTGCTATTTACTTTTTTTTAATTCATTTATTTTTTCATTTCATTTTTATTGTTATATGGGTTTTTCTTTGTCTTCTCCTTTTTCCTTTTTATCTTTATATTTTCTATAATTTTCTTTATTTTTATTTTTCTATTTAATCTTACTTAATTATTTTTATCGTGTTCACTTTTTTATTTTTCTGTATTCCATGAGATACTATGATGTTCATGTAATGTTTTATAATGTATTTTTGTGATGTTCACATAATATACATATGATGTTCTATGATATATTTTATGATGTTCCTGCAGTGTATATATGATGTTCTATAATGTATATTGTGATGTTCTATAATTTATGTTGTAATATTCACGTAGTATACATATGATGTTCTATGATGTACTTTGTGACGTTCATGTAATATACAAATGATGTTCTATAATATGTTTTGTGATGTTGATGTCATATATATATGTGATGTTGATGTTTTTGAAGAATGTTCAAGTTGTATAATTGAGATGTTCGCGTTGTATACATGTGATGTTCGTGTAGTATACCTATGATATTCTATGATACATTTTTGGGTTCAAGTAGTATAATTGAGATGTTTCATGAATAGCTTTGAACATTAACATAGTACTCGGTGAGACGTTGTGTGATATATTTTAGGTTATTTAAGTAGTGTAAATGCGATGTCTTTTTTATTTCCATCATTATATGTGTTTTTGTATGTCTTGTTGTGATATTCACATAGTGTACATGCAATGTTCTACGATGTGTTTCTAGACATTCGTGTAGTTTAAGTAGGATGTTCCACGTTTATCTTCGAGTATTTATGTAGTATTCATGAGATATTTTGTGGTATAGTTTTTTGTTTGAAGTAGTAACCATGTGATGTTCATAGTGTAGTGGTCAAGAATAATTTTCTAAGACCATAGGGCTTCTTATGTTCTGTATATACGTGTCATGTTCGCATAGTATGCATATAATGTTTTAGATATTTAAGAATGTTTAAGTTGTATAAATGAGATGTTCGAGCTGTATATATGTGATGTTCGTGTAGTATACATATGAAGTTTTATGATACATTTATTATGTTCAAGTATATTTTATTTCTTCTGTTACATGAGTTTTTCTTTTTGTCTTCTGCTTTTTTCTGATTTGTTTTTCCTGTTACTTAGTTTTTTTCATGTTTCATGAAATGTCTTATGGTATTTTTAGTATAAAATATTATTCTTGTGATAGTTGGATATTTTTTTTGAACTTTAAATGGTACGATGTATTTAATAATAAAACTATTACACAATTATCACAAACATCTATATGGTGTAGTGGTGGTGAGTAACATCTTTGAAGTCGCAGGTCTTATGTTTGAATCCCACCATTGACTGTTTGAATCTCCCAAAATCTATAGCGTGAACGGGCCAGGTCGCGGGAAGCTGAGCTGGGCCAGAAGCGCGCACACGTGCGGGCGGGAAGCCGAGTTGGTCTGGAATTCCCAAAATCTGTAGCACGAACCGGCTAGGTCGCGGGAAGCTGAGCTGGGCCAGAAGCGCGCACACGTGCGGGCGGGAAGCTGAGTTGGGCCGGAATTCCCAAAATCTATAGCGCGAACGGGCTAGGTCGCAGGAAGCTGAGCTAGGCCAGAAGTGTGCACACGTCCGGATGGGAAGCCGAGTTGACTGGAAGTGTGTGGGTGGGAACGAGAGCTGGCCTGGAGAGAGAAACTTGCGAGAGCTGGCCTGGAGAGAGAAACTTGGTGATCATCTGTGTAGATTCACCTCAAAAAAGTACTTTCATAAAAGCATAAATTTGGTAGATGTTCATTTACATTCCAATAGAAAAGTTGCTAGTATAGATTTGCTAGCGGTATGCTATAGTTATCTAGAGAAAGAGGGTGTACATTGCATGGTGAGTTGGTCAGTTTTTTTTTTTTTTTTTTGAGAGAGAGAATGAGTTGGTCAGTTGGTGACTGATGGAGAATAAAAGCATAGTCGATCTGCTTTTAACAACTTGGGGAGCAAGAGCAACGGATGGAATTAGGGAGGGGAAAAGGCAAATGGGCCACTCAAGCTACGTTGCTGTACGTGTGCTACTTTGGGCCACTCCACATCGGACCTTCTCAATGGTGCGGCACGAAGCTAGTATAAGCCAATAGCAACTCGTAAGCGGGGCACGAATTTCACGCGCGCGGGACTGCCAGACTGGTCGACCTAATTCTGCGTGGCAGGAAAAATTGCCGGACCGAGGTTACGGTTCGAACGGGCGGATAGAGCTTACAACAATATCAAATAAAGATCATTGGCAACAACATGGCCTCAGACTAATTGTTGTTCCCATTCATCATAGTTAGGGTAAAAAAACGAAAAAAAAACACAGAGTTCGACAGCCATCACTTAGGATCAGAATACAGTTCAACAGTTTTCTAGAGAGGAATGCAGCGCATGCAGGAGATGCAAACAACAAAGATCAGAGATGGATTAGTGTCATCATCGGCCTAGACATTGCAGTTACATTACCCAGACATGGTAAGTCTCATCCAAAGAGCCACAACCAGCAAGAAAAGAGCCACAATCACCACATTCTTCCAACCTCCAACAGCACATGCAGGAGTTGCTGCTCGTAATGATGTATTGTAATCATGCAGTGCTTGTTCATAGTTTTGGTACTTCTTGCACCTAGCATTGGAGTAGCCAAGCACTTGCAGAGACCACTCATGCCAAGTGAAGTAAATTCCAGGAGTGTAACCCTCAAAAACCACATAGCATGGAGCCATTAATCTGCAATGTCAATATTTGTAAGAGCCTCAGTGGTGCTAAGTTAGATGAAAGTTGCCATAATCTTAGTTTCACTCACATCAGTGGCTAGTAGTAGGCAAGCAAACAAAGGTAGTGCCTCAGTAATTTTTTGCAAATCAGAAACAGTGCATGAGGCGACATTGAAGATCTTCGGTTTTGGAAAACCAAATCGAAGATATCAAATGTCGACCAATGAACTGATTCTATAAGTCTACAAGTAAATAGTTGACATCATTGGCAAAAAAAAAATTGTATTGGCCTCAGCTTTTAAGAATTTGCTGCTAGATTCTCAAGTCAATCATAGGTGCCTGTACATCCATCAAATGACAGAAAAAACCAGCAAATCAATGAGAGCACCAACTGAAGATGTAGCAGATCTGGTATGGGAGGTACAAAATCAGCCGAATCCAAGA